CATTAAGCCTTACGCTGCTGTTTGCGCTCCGCTTGCCAAGTGGTCTGGCTCTCCCCACCACTTCCCAGCCCACAAATCTTTGTGTCCTCCTCCGCCGTTTTGGTGGGGCCAGCAGGCTTCCTCCCAGGACCTCGACACAGATGTTAGCTAGTGTCCCGAGAGCTCCAGTCTAACCACACGTCTGGCTGTCGGGCACGGCCTCATGGAGAAGGCAGGGAGCTGCAGAGCCACATCGGATCCAAGCCCTGCCTGAGGCCGGATCAGCCCTGTCCAAACCAGCCCAGACAAACCCCGTGTCCGACCTCTGAGCACAACTACACACGACACAGGATCGTTAGGTGACTCCATCTTAAGACCTCTCAGTTTGCTGGTTTTTAATCCACTGACGTGTGCTGTGTCGATCTTGCATTGTTCTCGTTTCTTCATCAAAATGTCACGCGGTAGCAAGGCAAATGCCTCGCTGGAGCCATGCACATCCGTGCAATTGCCTCCGTCAGCCACGCTTGTAATCTCATCGGGACGGGCGCTGAGTCAGCTGGACCAGCTGTTTTCCATAAAGCTCTGGTGACCGGCATGAACAGCACGACCCTCCCCTAACTCCGTATTAATCAAATCCTGCATCAGCCGTTGCAGTATTGCTCAGCATCCGTCGCCCTCAGGCAGACGGTCCCGTAATCTGCTGGCCCGGGTGTTGACTCCCTTTTGGATCAGAGGCTCGCTGAGCCTGGCTGTGCTTTCTGCCCTTGGGCCCGTGCCTGCAGGGCTCAGGGCTTGGAGCCTGCCCGAGCCGCGGCCGGCTTAGAGCTCTCCAACGCACGTCTCCCTTCACAGAATTACAAGGTCGGGTTGGAAGGGACCACAAAGGCCCCTGGTCCAGCCCTTGCACCACTGCTCCCCGTCCGTCCCAGGTGGATGCATCCTCAGCCTCTTCCTGAAGTCCTCCAGTGAAGGGGAGTCGCAGCTGCCCAGAGCAGCCCGTTCCCTCGCCATCCCCTGAGACCGGAGCCGAGCCTGCTTTGCTGTGGCTGCAGCCCAGTGCCTAGCGAGCGGCCCTCTGCAGTGAAAGGACTGTCTCTAGGGCAGCCTCTCAACTGCTCGAAAACCCTGAGTCTCCTCTTCATCCCATGAAGCATGCCCAGGTGCTTCCACCTTTCCAAGCGCCTGCATTGCAATGCAACCCCATATCCTCTCCATCGCTCACCTCTGCGCCTGCTCCTGTCTCTCTACATCCTTCTTAAAGGACCTGCCCCGGGCTTGGGAAGAGGAAGAGTCTGGACCAGGCCCCAGCAAGAGAGCCAGCACCTGCCCACGTGGCTTCCCAGCTGCCTCCGTGAAGGGGCGCGAGTCAGGACCTGCTCCTTGTGCACGTGGCAGTGGAGCGGGCTGCCCAGGGCCGCCTCCTGCCTCCTACCCCGTCCACCGGCAAGATGCACAGTGTGGCCCACGTGGTTTTCTGGATTCAGTCGTATGTATGAGAGATGTTTTGGGGAAGCAAGAGCCAAAGCTGCTGGAGGCACTGAGGTGCCCGCTGGAAAATGGAGAGCAAGCAGGCTGCGCGGACGGGGCTCCTTTGCACCGCAAGGCAGACGAAGACGTAGCCGGTGAGCACATCCCTGCACCGCTCTGCCCGCGATCCTTGGTCCTGGCCCGGTTACGGCGCCCACGCTCTGCCCATGCCCCAGCGCTGATCCTTGTCTGCCTCCCCCGCGGCCAGGCTCCTGGTAGGGGAACTGTGCGCCGTGCCTCCTTTTGACGGCTCTTGTGACTCGGGTCACGCCAGCCAGCAAGGACAGACGCGCAGTCTGCAAGAGGGAGCAGTGGTGCTCTCCCGGCTGGGGCTCAGGCCGCACCCCGGCCCCGGCTCAGCACCGTGCCCCCCGCCCATGGCCGTCCCTCGCGGCTGGAGTCCGGTGCTCGTAGGACACTTCTCCTGCGGGAGCAGCCGCCCCCCCGAGCCGCGCTGCTGGTGCTGCCTGGCGCTGCCCTGGCCGGGGAGGGAGGCTGCTCCTCGTTGCACCGGGAATTAAAGGAAGCCCAAAGCTGTGCTCTCTCCTATGCACTGGGTTTGTTCCCTGCTCCTGCTCTCTTCGGTCTTCCCCACACCCTGCCGTGCCGTGCCGCGCGGGTGCCCGGGCTGGGCGATCTCCAGGGCCAGGGCCGCTTTGTGCGGGGCGCCTGGCACAAGAGCCCTGGCCCGCGTTGCTGTGGGGGCTACCGCAGTGCAGGCGAGAAACCCCAGGGAGCCCCGGCTCTCCCCAGCAGACTCCCAGGCAGAGGAGGAAGCCGTTCCCAGGCTGGCGGTTCGGCTCCTGCCTCGTGCTCCCAAACCCCGCAGCGCCCTCGCTCCGCGGGCACCTGCCCTGCTGACGGCAGCCCCCGGCCTTTGAGGATGCAGCAGAGGCCTCGGTCTCCCAGCTTCCTCGCTCAGCACCGGGCGCAGGCAAGAGACTCGCCAGCTGCTTCTGCTGGAGTCTCGGCAGGCTGCCGTCAGCTCTGGGAGACGGCCTCCCCCGGCGCCCCGGCACGGCCGCTCAGCTGCACCCTATTTTCTGGGTGTATGGGGCTGCACCGCAGCCTGCTTTCAGGAGGTCCGACCCTGAGCAGGGAGCCGCCAGGCCTGGGGCTTGTCTAGCACGTCCATCCCGGCCTCCCCGGCACAGGCGGCCTCAGATCTTCCCGAGAGCGATGCAGGCGCAGGGCCCGGTGCGCAGCCTCCACGCCTGGGGCGATGCCTCCCCACGGCCAGCCCCGACTGGCACCAGGCAGGTCTGTTCCCCCGTGGGGCATGAAGCGGGGGATCGTGGCCTCCAGATGTGGGGGAAGCTGAGAGCTTGGCCGAATTCACCAGGGCTTGGAGATGTGCTGGGTGGAAAGGGGCATCAGGGGCTCTGGGGCAGGGAGCGAGGGGCATGGGCTCAGCATCAGCCTGCCCCGACCTCGGTGCTGGGGGCTGCAGGGGAGAGGAATGGGGGAAACCCTGCTCGGACCCGGTCGCTCTCCCTCCAGCTCCACTCTCTGCCCCCGTGCGACACAGGACACGGGGCAGGACGGACCCCGGGTCCTCCCCAGCCCAGGGCAGCCCTGCCACCCTTGTGCCCCGCGCGGCGCGGCGCGGCGCGGCGGGGCTGAGCGGGTTGGCGGTGCATGTTGATGCTAGCGGGGCTTCCTCCCCCGTTCCTGGTGCGCAGGAGGCAGCGGAGATCAAAGCTCGTCTCTTGTGATCTCGCCGCGCCAAGGGAGGGTCTGAAGGAGGCCGGGGCCGAGCGCGGGGACTTTCCTGCTCGAGGCACTCACGGCCTCTCTGTCTGTCTCTGCAGGGCCTGCACTCGCCAGGAGCGCCGGGGCCGTGAGC